TCTAATATGCTTGTTTTTAATGGTGACTCTGCCAATTAAGGGAATTGATGGAGATGCGGGGAAACTTAACAAGAAGTGAGGAGGATGCACATCTGGGTGGGACTGGGACTAGAACACTTTCGGGGTCCTTGGGTCCAGACAGCCTGGCACAGCCATGGAGAAGAGCCTGGACACCCAGTCTTGCCGCAAATGAGCCTGGAGCAAGAAGTCAGTTAGGTCAAGATCAGGCCTCCCTCTAAACGCCCTCAGCCATTCCCGCAGCTCCTTGGTCTGGAACCTTCCCATGGAAAGAAGGAAGCTCAGACTCAAGCTAATTGGAGAAGTAAAATGAGGTTGAGCCAGTGTCCTCCAAGGCCCTTCCAGCAATGCAAGACTGGGAACCTCGCATGTGTTAGGGTCACAGCTTGAGTTGGTTGTTGTCCACTCCATTGTTGTAATTCTCCCTTCCCAAGAATTGAGAGACCCTCAGGAATTGGTAAGTAAAGTGAAGCAGAAGGAGGAGGAGAAGTGCTTACCTGGGGACACAGCCACCTGCTCCCTCGTGGCCTCCTGGGTCACCAACATGGGTTCCTTCCCCTTTTCGAGATTCGGCTTAGCCCAGGGCTAAAGCAGGGGTGTGGGGGCCTCCACCCTTCTGCTGTGCTACACTTCTCTCCACTTCCAGCCCACTGTGCCCCATGCCCACCCCTCTGGAATCCCATGGTGGCTCCCTGTATCCTCAAACGCTAAGCTTATAGCAGGTGATTAATTAATGCTGGTTTGGTCAAATTCCAAACCCAACGCCTGGCATTCAGAGCCATTTATCAGGAATGCCCTACCATTTCACTTCCTCTCTCCCTCCTCTCTGGTGCATTTCCACGGCCCCACGCTGGCCGGTCTGCTCTCTGTCTCCCCCATGCTCTCTCATCCATCTCCACGTGTTTGCTAGTATGGAATCTCATGTTGAAATCACCCTTCCTCTCCACCTCTGCTTTCGTGAATTTCCCATTCTTTAAAGCCCACCTTATGGTCCATCTCCTCCATGAGCTTTCTACCTGCCTTCATCCAGTGATCTATGTTCCTTTTTTTCTCTCATCACCACATGGTTACCTGTGAATATCTGATGTTGGTCAGTGCTGACAGTGGATGGATGGGTGGATGTACATATAGAAGATGAATCTTCAGAGTGAATGATGCTCAGTACAGCTCTCTCTTGCATGTAATTCTTACAATAACAAATTTTGCCATTTTAACTGAGTGACTAGCCAAGAATCCTACACATAGTGGGTGCTCACTTAGAATTTGTTGAATGACTGTCCCATACCTACACTTCTGTCCATTCCTGCTCAAACAAGCATTTGTGGAATGCCAAGCTCAATGAATTTTCCCAAAGTGAATATACTCGTGTACTCACACCTGGATCAGGGACTAGGACGTTGCCTTGCCCCCTGCCTCTGCACCCCCTTCCCAAAGGCAGCCACTAGCCTGACTTATGTCACTTCTTGAACTTTGTATCAGTGAAATAATTCTCTGCTTGTCTGCTTCTTTCACTTAATATTACATTTAAGTGATGGAATATGAGTAAATCACGGGTCTTACCTCAAGGAATTCATAGTCTAGTGAGAATTTCTGGAATTTAGTCCAAATTCCTTCACTATTTTCAGTATCTGACCTAAGCAACACATCCATAGAGCACCCTTCTTTGGGTTTTATTATTTCCTACCTCCTTTTATGGGTTCTGCAGAGGACTGAGATCCTGTGACCCAGGTCCTTGGACCAGCCTCAGTGTGTCTTACCTTTATTGAATACTTGGATCACCTTGGTGGATAATTTAAAATCAGATGTCTTCAAAAATGTTAATCAGTTCTTGAAATTTTCATTTGAGATTATATTTGCTAACTACCTTCTGTTGCTTTGAATATTTTCTGTTACCTTCTCTAAAGTTTTGTTTGCATTACAGTGTCCCCCACCCCCACCCCCCGCCGCCCCAGGGCTTAATGGGACCAGCTGGAGGGAGGGGAGAAGAAGAGGGCAGCGAGTTCTTTTAGGTGGGACTTGTGACTGATGGGGTCTCAGCCTCCCCAAGTCCACCTCTCACTGCTCTCCTTCAACTGGAAGCTCTGTGACTGCTCGGGGAGCTTCTGGAGACACTGGTGAGAATATGGGTGTCCCGAGGGAGTTTCTGCCCATCAAGACATCCTTCTGAGAAATGGAAGGACTACCAGGTAACTAAGGAAGCCAAAGCTGCCTTCTTCCCACCCCCGAGCACTTTTCTGAGCATTTCTTCCCCTCTCCTCAGCGAGTGCCCGCCGAGGAGATCACCTATGAGACGCTAAAGAAAGCCATTGGTAAGTGGGGGGCCCCCAAGGAGGGGAGGGCGGGGCTGGGTCCTGGGGAGGCGGGTGCGTGTGCAGCTCCCCCATCTGCTGCCTCCAAGTACGATTCAGTACAGACATGAGGGCAGAGGCTGGTGGCTTCCTCTAAACTCCTCACAGCTACCAAACCTGCAATTAAAAGTCCCCCTCTCCTCACAGGGGTCAGTCTTCTATCTCAGGAACCCTCTTTCTATTGATGGCTGCTGGTAAAAGCAGTCAGTTGAGGGTCCTGGCCAGTCAGACAGGTAAAAAGCAATTTTAATTGGTATAAATAGTTTGACAATTTTTTGGTGGCATGTGATACACAAAGAACAAGTTGACCAATGAAAGCTATTAAGAACAAACCATAGCAATATTTATTTAATAATGGCAATAGATTTTGAGATGCAGTATTACCTCATCTGGATTATCGGTCAGTGAAGAATCCTGAATTAGAGGATTTTTCTGATAACCGATGACAAATCGTGCCTTCAAAATGTCAAACCTTTTTTATTTCTGTCGTCACTGATGGTACTCTTTCTGAACGTCCCCACTGCTCTTCCTCCTTAAGCTAGGCGCGATGAATGTATTTGATGCCCTCCCCCCGCCATTTTTATTCATTTTGGATAAGAAGTGGAGTATGTAGAAGCCTTAAACTAAATGGCCTCAGACTGCTCTGCCGTAGAGGCTCTGTGCTGGCCTTTGTGGTCTGTCTGACTTTCCCATTGTCGATGTCTCTTTTCAAATTACCCTGAGTACTTCCTGTTCCAGGAACTCATGTTTGAGTCCCAGTGGCAGGGCAGCTACATGGGGCTTTAGCCTTGCCTAAGGGTCCACTTAACTAGTTTTCAAACTCTTAGGCAAGGAAGGGTGCTGAAGCTTCAGGCAGAATCAGGAAAGGGTCTGGCCTTCCCAGGGGCCAAGTGATGGCACCGCACCCTCCATGCCCCAAGCCCCTCATCAGCAGAGGGGAGAGCAGGGCTGCAATCGCGGACCACATCCATGGGTTGACCTGGGTCTCTGTGCCCCAGTGGACAGTGTAGCGGTCGAGGAGCAGGAGCGTGAACGGCGGCGACAGGTGGTGGAGAAGTTTCAGAAGGCACCCTTTGAGGAGATTGCAGCGCACTGCGGGGCCCGGGTAAGTGAGGCGTAACAGGGCCGGTCCCGGGACCAGACACTGGATGTGGGTCCAGGCCAGGACTGAGTTTCTAGGAGATCTTGGTTGTCATCCAGAAATTAGAGTTTAGATCCCCAAAATGCCCTGGCACTACATTGTTTCCCCCAGAACCAAAAGCTATCAGTCACACACCCCTCCAGACATCACAGTTTTCATATAAGGAAGTCCTGAACTCAGGATCTCCAGGGCCAAGCAGACAGATTATAATAATTATAATCGTCAGAGCAAGTTTACGGAAATAGCCCTCACTCTGCACCGGAGAGTCTTACATTTATCAGTTTATCTCCTTCTCGTGACAACTCTGCAAGGACGTTGCCCCCATTAGGATCCTCAGATTCCCGAGTGACGGGAAGGGGCCGGGTCACAGGAAAGGTGGCCAGCGTTTGCAAAAGGGCCCATTTTCAACGGGGTGACCCTGGTGGGTGGAAAGGAACCTCTTGAAAAAGAGGTTTGAAAGAGAGAGTACCAGACAAGTAGAAAGAAGGACTGTGTCTGTAATTTCGGGAAGAGCACAAAATGATATGCCAGGATTGGTTAGTCCCAGTGTCCATCTTAGTAACAATGAAACATAACTGTAAACGTCCAAAATCTACAAATAACTGATATTTTATTGTACTTTTTCCCCCTCAATAAAAGTACATGTAATTTTCTTTCCTGTTAAATGTTTCTAATATATATACTTCTCATATTTTATAGTAATTATATATAGTAATAGAATTATAATAATATATATATAAATACATGTAAGTATAATATAGATTTTTCTGAGCCTACATTCTGGTAACGTTTTGTTCCATCTCGAGAGGTAGATGCTGCCTATTTCATGAGCTCAGAGCTGAGGCCCAGTTATTGAACACACACTCAGTCTCATTCTCTGCGCACATGGGCTTATTTGGAGTCAGAAGGAACCAGAGAGCATCTTCCCTAACACAGCAGCTTTGCACAGCTGTTCTGTGGGAGTTAAGGAGCTCTGAGCCTCCTGACCCCCTGCCCAGGGTCCTTCCAGAACTGTTGCTGAAGTCGTTCCTGGCGCTTCTGGCCTCTGTGCTGTCCCCAGCAGGCCTTTGCTGGGCAGCTTTGCCTGATCTGAACCCATTGCCAGGGTCCACAGAGAAGTGCTGGAAACGAGCTCCCACCAGTTTCTTTCCTAAAGCTCCCTGCCCTGCACCTGCAGTGCATGCTCTGGACAGGTGGGCTTGGGAGTCAGCTGGCAGGGATGCGGGGAGACCCCAGCTCTCGTTCCCTCTGTTTGTGTCTAGGCATCACTGCTGCAGAGCAAACTCAATCAGATCTTTGAAATCACCATCCGGTAAGTGGCAGCCCTGGGCAAGGGACCCCCACCTCTGTGGCTCAGCATAGGGACTTCCCCCTTCCCCCAAGTTCTACTCTTGCACCTGTTTTCAGCCCTCCCTGACTTCAGCCTCTGTCTCCAGGGCTGGAGTTGTACCAACTCTCTCCAGATAAGGAGACAGAGACTGAAGGGAGAAAGAGACAGTTCAGTGAACCCTGGAAAAGAGCCGGGAGTCCTTGTGTCCCAGGCTGGTACTTCACTTTCGAAAGCAACAGAGTCACTGTAGAAGCTGCAATGAAGCTTGATTTCAAGCTGTAGATTCTAGAACGGCTTGAAACCTGGGACCCCATGGGGTGACAAAGTCACTGGTCCCTATTCAAAGAGAAATCCCAATCAGCTGCTCTGTTGGTTGCATGGGAGGAACCCCAGAACCCCCTCCTCATGCCCTCTCCTCCATGTGTTTCTGCCCCAGGCCCCCACCAAGCCCTTCAGGAACCATCACTGCAGCCTACGGCCAGCCTCAGAACCACTCCATCCCTGTCTATGAGATGAAGTTTCCTGATCTGTGTGTATACTGAATTCCAAGACACAGGCTTCTCTGAGGGATGGGGTTAGAGGGAGGGGCTTGCCTTCACACCTACCCCTACAACACGGAAATCTAACTGGGCTCTCAGAGAAAAGGCACTTCCCCAGCTGAGCAAGGTGGATCCCGTCTTGCCCCTTCTCAGCCTCCGTGCTTCCTCTTTGTCTTCCCCGAGGAAGCTCCGGCCACCTGCTCCTCTGGGGCCAATAAGCTTCTCACCTGTGCCCTTTGTCTCCTCCTTTGTGTCCGCCCGGGACTGAGAGTTGTGGGGGTCTCCAGAGAGAGGCTGAGATCCCAGGAAGCTCCTACTTGTGTAGTAAGTGAAGGGCTTTCATGGGGGTGGGCCTGGGTGGGGCACAGCTGCCAGTTCCCCAGGAGGGAAGCAGATGGAGACACCCTTGTTCAAAGGAAGCCTTAGACTACAATAAAGAGGAAGCAAGGCCGGCTCCTCCTGTAAAGCGGCAGGGAGCCAGCCAGAAGAGGGGCCCTGATCTCCTTCAGAGCATCCCCTTCCTCCTTCCCCATTTGAGGATTCTAAGGCCCTTGACACTCTGGTGTCTCTTCCACTCTCCTGCTCACCCTATCGGTTGCTTCTCCATGATTCTTTCTATCATTAAGTAATATTGAGTCCTTATAGCAGGGGCTGGGGTAGAGACACCGTGGGGGGCAGCTAAGGGTAAATGAAGGGCCAGCAGCCCACTGATAGAGGGGGCTGCTCTCTGCAGGCTGGGCGGCGGGACCAGGGAGCAGGAGCATGGTCCCCTCTCCTGTAGAGCAGTAGCAGGCAGAAGTGGGCACATCCACAGCCATCTGTAGCATCTCCCCTCCTCTGTACGGAGGGAGCTTGCTTGGCCCTCCCGTGGTTCTCTCTCTTCTGGATGTTCTTCTGAGTTGAGTTCTTTCTCTTTGATGCCTTTCTTCCTGAGGATCCCAATGTGTTTCTACAGTCTCTGGGGCTAGGGGAGGGCAGAACAATATAATCTGGTTCTAGACAACTCAAAAGGAGGAGGGACAGCAGGGGCTCTAGGCCTGCCTACATCACCTCCTCTAGAGGAGGCTCCCAGCCTGGCTGGGAGGATGGGAAGGGAGGTGAGTGGAGGGAGTAGCTCTTTGGGGCTCAAGGATATCAGAAGTCAACCTTTTAGATGTTTCACTCGGGCAAAGAAGGATCCAGCACCTAATATTGGCGTGATTTCTTCACTCCAGTCACAGAGTCTGGACATCAGCGCAGCTAGCAAAGCGGAGGCCCGGGGAGAGGCAGTGGAGACCCCTTTGGGTTCTGAGTTTCTGTTTTCCCTGAGTGCCACCTGCACATCTGTGTGGGGCAGGAGCTAGTGCAGAGCTTGACGGCCAAATTTGCTGTGTTCTCCGTCCCCCATTCTACCCGCTCCCAGTCCTTTCCCTCCCTCCGGGGCCTTTGTGCCTCCAGAGCCACCTCTGGCCCAGCCTCATCTGGGCCTCTGCCTGTGGCAGCACCTGTGACCCAAAATAGCCCTTTTCTTCTTTTCCAGTCAAAACTTCCCTTGACTTTCCTGAGCCAGTATGACTCACAGTGAAGTGAGAATGGTCTCCTCCCTGGAGAATTTGCTTTTGAAAAGAGGGAGGGTGAGTAGATTTCTTGATCCAAAGGAACCCCTTTGTAGGGCACAACTTTACGCAGCATCGGGTAGGGTCGGAAGCAGGCGATTTCCACTACAGGGAGGGCAGTCTTCTCGGGACACCCTCGGTTCACACCCGTGTACGTGGCCCTGCACAGATGCACTGAGAGCCTGCTTATCAGGACAGAGAGGTGTATTTGCCCAAAGCAGGAGTATCTCAACATACGTACTTTCCCATTACATGTGCAATACATTTCTCGGGCAGGGGGGCTGTCTGACCCTCGTTCCTATAGTTTCCCCCCTTGGTCACTGCTTCTGTGCTGTGAGCCTGTGGCTTCCAGATGGGCTACACGATTGCAGGGCTTCTGCTCCCCCCACGGCTTTGGCTCTGCTCTATGGCTTTTGGCTAATGCCAACTCAACTTTATAAGCATGAACTGAGATTTCTCTTTACCTTAATATCTGTTTATTAAGAAAGCAAATTTAAAATAACTAGAAACAAGCGTAAAGACAAATAACCTTTGGAAGAAACTTTACAGAAAATCTAAACCTTGAGCCACAAATATGTCTTTATTCACTGGATTGTCCCGTCTTTCTCCCCTACTCAGATTGGGTGAGAAACCCTGTTTCTCCCTCGTGTCTGTCTGACTTTAGGGTCCACCCCATGGCACCTGCAGCCTGAGCACTGCCCGAGGGCCCTGGTTCTGGGACTTGGGGGTCATTCCTGAAGCCTCTTTTTAGAGCCCGCACTAGAACCAGAGACCTCCAGGGCCACTCAGCTGTCTCTCCCTCATCCCCATCCGGGGACTAGAGGGTAGAAAAAGGGGCAGGATTCCCATTCTTCATGCACTCCAGTGCTGTCTCCTCTGTGTCTGTCCAAAGCAGCTTTTTCTTTATATCACCACTCCCTAGCAAACATGTGCTTCTTTTGGAGACCTGGCCAAATTTTCAGTGCCCCTCTTCACAGTTTCAGTTTAAACTTTAACTCAGTAGAATAGGAGGTTGCCCAGTGACATGGAGTAGAATCTAGATTCTGCCCAAATATGCTTCAGAATCAGAAAGTTTAAGGTGAGCCTTAACTGGAACAAACAATTAAATGGTAAATTAAGCTGAAATCTAATTTTGTGCTGAAACAAGGCATCTTCCTTACATCTGGGGAGAAGGCTTAAAGCAGTGTGATACTTCTTCATTTCATGAGCCCTAGAAATCTTCTAGTTAAAGTACCCCTTATCCCAAATCTGGCCTATGTCTGAAGCTGGCAGAAGAATGGTCATGATGGGGCCTGCCAGCTGGGGAAGTGGGGCGGGGACACACTTGTGGGAGGGGCTCTGTGGCCTGTTAGGGCCAGAAGGCAGTTTTCTGTGTTCTCCTTTAGCACCAGCCAGGTTGACCAGGTCTTTTCTCCTTCAGGGGACTTTGGGGTTTTAGCCCATCACCTTCCCCTTTTGGGCTCTTCCTCCCAAAGGCTGTTGGTTCTGGCCTATAGAGTGCAGAGTTGTAAATCCAGAAATGCTGCAGCATTACACGGACATTGTAACATGTCCATGTCCATCCAGACCTTCACAACCTGGCTGAGGGTGTGTGTGCCCATGTGTGTGCATGTGTGTGTAATGTAGTTCATAGCTGACGATGTGTGTATATAATAGCTGATGTATTTATATGTGAGTGCAGATTTAGTGTCTGTGGCAGTTTTCTGTATTTTAAACTCACTGAATCAAATTAGTTTAATTTTAAGGAAGGGGAAGGAAGAGCGGGGGGAGGGGGGAGGAAGAAGGACTCTCAGCAAGATTATTCTTTAGGACTGTTAGTCGTGGTTTCCCAATGAGCCGTCACAATGCCCTTTTCAAATAAATGTTAATGTTGTCACTCCACGGTTGTCTATTTGATTTCTTTAAAGTAAATGGTTTTTTGAGATGCGAACAGGATCTGAAAATATCGCCAGCATTAACCACCAACATTTAACCACTCCCACCTACCATAACTTGCCTCAAAAGGAAGGAGGGTAAAGGAGAGTGTGCTATCAAGATGTACACACAAGGCCCAGGATTCCCAAGAAGGAAGCATCCTCAAATGGGAAGGCCAGGGCCATTTCTTCATTAGTGACTAGAATCTAGTCCCATTGCATGTAACCCACACTAGGGGGGAGATTCTGGCTTTCTGGTTCCCCTTATACCAGGACTCCCCAGCTGCATTCCAGTTTTCTTTAATTGTGAACCCCTAGAGCATCAAAATATGGGAGGGCCATACAGAAATATTCCCCAGCCGGCTTTGATCTGTATCATCCACTGGTGGGTCTGATGCAGTTGACGTGGAGGTGTGCCTCTCTGTGTATCAAGTGTCCATGAGTCTCTTGTGAATTGTAAATGTGTGTGGCTACAAACCTGTGGCCCCAACATTGTCAAAACACCATGGGGACATACAGAAGAAGCACAACCCCTGGCCTCCACCCTTGTGGAGCTTAGACTTTCCCTGGGAAAAGAGCATAAGACATATGTGCAGCAAGAAACTTGCCATCTGAGCTGGACTGAATTCCCTCCAGTACAGGGGGGATGGCTGACTGCAGCAACACTGAAAATGAGCAGGCTTGGCTGGAAGAGATCCCAACTTTCCCAGCAGAAGTGGACTTGAGCCTGGGTTCATGTGAAAAAAGGGTAATGTTCAAAACGGCAGGGGATGGTGGGGAATTCCTGGCAGAGGGTGACAGAGATCAGGAGAAGAGTGAGAAGACCACAGAAATGGGGTTTGATAAGGAGAGTGAATCTGACCCACAATGGCCCTGCATGTGCCATGCCCAGTAGTTTGGAACTGATGGAAAAGTGGGGTGGGGCGACTTTTTTGTCTCTTGGGTCAGGGAGTGCAGAAAAAGCAAGTTTTTGTATACACTGATGTGAAGAATTTGTACAATGGGTTGGGGAGGAAGACAACTGGAGACGAGGACACCAGTTGGTTAGGAAGCCGTTAGGATAGTCAAAGCCTGAGCCAGGAGCACCGAGGATGAAGAGAAGGCTGCGGCTGGACCACATGGGGAGGAGAGAGCTTGGGCATGACCACGACACTGGTGAAAGATAAACCTCATAGCTTGAGCCCCAGCGACTGGAAGAAGCATCCGTGCATATTGCATTGTATTTATGCAGACGTGTCTCCATGGGTGTGTATCTATGTGGGTGAGACCCTGTGTAGGAGAGTATCTGTGTGTAGGCTGGGAGGGCAGTCAAATGTGAAGGGATACCAACCCTCAGCTCTCACACATAAGCCTCTCGGTGATAAAAAGATCATACCCATTTTCTCATTGATCCTCACGATAGCTCTTACAGTAGGAAGGAAAGGGTAAATGAGAGAACTAAATCTTGGAAAACTTCAGAGACTTGCCTAAGGCCCCACAGATAGCTAGAAGCCATATGGGAGGCATTTCCACAGCTTCTCACCTTGGAGAAATCCTGCCGTTTGACGCACCTGCTAACTGAGCAGTCTTTTCCCATCCAGTGGAGAAGGGGAAGTGCAGCCACCTTGAGGCATCACCCAAACCGTTTGGTCCCTTGAAGACCCATTTATTAGGAGTGCGGAAGAAAGTACATTTTCTTTTCACTTCCCCTATATCCTATGAAACATACTACCACTTGGTCACATGGAAACCACGAGCTCTCCTCCAATGTGTGCTGCTCTTTGATGGTTATGTTTTTCTATTTTATTAACCCAATCAATATTCAAAGTCGGAGTAGGAAGTGAAACTTTAAAGGTTTTATTTCCTAGCTACAGACAGCTTTAAGAGACAGAATACCTGCCACCATCACCGCCTGGGCAACTCCACACCCAGGCTGCGATGTGGCAGGAAGGAAGGAAAGGAGCGGAGCTTTAGGGTTGACTTCCCAGGAAGAGAAGCCCCTGCCCGCGGCGCCCTCACTGGCCCTTCTTGTGGGCGTTCTTCATGATGGCATTTTTGAACAGGGTCACCAGGGGCGTCTGGCTCTTCTCCGAGGTCATGAATCCGCCGTAGCGCTTGTCCTTGGGCGGGCTGCCCCAGCGGAAGTGCTGCATCTTATAGGGGCCCCC